CTTCCCACCGCGGCGGCCCGGGTTCGATCCCGGGTCTGGTCAAGTGAGATTTGTGGCGGACAAAGTGGCGCTGGGGCACTTCGAGTACTTCAGTTTCCCCAGCCAATCTTCATTCTACCAATTGCTCCACAATCACCCTCACCTATCATCTGGGGCTGGTACAATAGGCCAGAAGTGGCCGCAGTACAAGGGACTTAGTCCCACCCCACTAGCAATAAAAATAAAAAAGAAAGCTTAGAAATCAAATACACGCGCCCGGTTAGATCGTTTCATATCAGTCACCGCCATGTTTCTGTAGGAAGTTAAGCTTGCAGATACTTCCTTTGAGGACGAGTTAGTGCAATTATTTTCCAAAATAAAGCATTTCTAATTAGTACTTCCTCAGCCTATAGTAAATCATATATGGTGTGGTCGCATTTTATGCGAATCTGATAACATGTGTTATAAAAAGTATTAATAAACTCAAACTTTATGCTCAAAGTCTGAAATAATACGAATGCAAAAAAGAGATCAGCAAGATTCGCGTGTGCATATGAAAACTGGCCGACTTTGTCTTGAATTATGCGAGGACTTCAGGAACTCATCCCTCTAATAAAATGCGACAGAACTGCGCACGACATAAATATACATTGTTACATGTTAGGGCGACTCTCGACGCGGTTTTGGATTGGAGATTGGATTTATTGATTACTTGCAGTTCGTAACTATAAATAACTATAACACTGACTGATTTCTACACTTTACAAATGACTACAGCACACGATACGTCTCAACAGTTCTAACTGACTAACTCAGTCACTAACCAACTAACTCAGCTGACTGTCCTGTTTATAATATCTGCACAGACCGCATAGAAAACACCGTTTCCCATTATTACTGTATTCAATTGTTGCAATGAAAACATGCTTGTTTGCGAAGCCGTTACTCGGTAACGGCTGCCTTTGCTAGCTTCACAGTTCTTTCCTTGAGCAAATATGACACGAGGTTCTCCATATATGTTATCATTCGCATAGTGGTAGCATCTTATGCCGGAGTTGTAAGAGGTAAACCGTAGACTTGTGTCTTTCCCACCCTCCAACTTAAATCTAAACCCCTGGGTACACGGACAGCATTTCAAGTGAAAACCACCAGCCCCCGAAATGCTATGAAGCCAAAGTAGAGAGGATTGTGACGGGGTTGGTTTTAAGGCCCAGTAGCGCATCTCATGCATAACTGAGCTTCTCCATACTCATCTGAAAGCAACCCCATACCCTCTGGTGCGAGATGCCGGGTGGCAGGGTGGTGTATTATGGCGGTAATCCTCTCAGAGAAGAGATCGTTTTCAATTTGGAGAAACCGCTTAAGTAGATAGCCTCTGCTCCCACGGTGGTGCATGATGGGAAATGCGAAAAGGGAAAAAGAAGTCAGTTCTTCAGCTTGAGACCCCTTGTTCTCTTCATAGTCTGCAACCCTCATATACGTGTGGGTATGACGCACAGTAATCTGGAGATGATTCGGTTGTCATACCCACCACATTTTAATTAATTGAAAACAGAAGATAAACACAGTTCTTCTTGTAAGATTTGAGGTTCTCATGGGGTAACTATGAAGAATTCCGTCTTCTGGGATGTGGCGCCGTGTAGATGGTGTAAATCGACGTTTCGGAGGAACGTATCGCCTTCATTTTCAGGGTACAAAAATCCGCGAGCGAGGGGCCAGCGTGAGCATTTGGCTGCAGACTGAGCCGCCAGTCGAAAACCCCAGTTCTTCTTCTGCCTTGACGGATTAGGCTTTCTAACCAATTCCCATCTCTCTAAGATCTATTATAAGTTTATTTTCCCACCTACATCTAGGTCTTCCTAGTGGTCTCTTTCCTTCTGCTTTCCCACCAGCATATTCTATGTAACCCTCTTCGCTCCAAATCGTACTACTTGCCTTGCACAACTTGGAGAAGAGTACAAGTTATGAAGCTCCTCATTACGCAGTTTTTTCTAGTCTATTATTATTATTATTATTATTATTATTATTATTATTCGGTTCATGTATTCTTCTCAGCACCTTATTCTCAAACACTCACTTTATTCTAAAGTGTTCTGATGATGGTGTATAATAATCAGAAATACTGCGTTTTTGGACTCAACTGAGTCCAAACCCAACTGAGTGCTTCCTCCCTCACCTGAGTATGGGAACATATGCCGCTTCCGAAAGGCTGTGTAGAACACCGGCCGATGGACAAAGTCCAAAAACCGAGTAATTCTAACTCTCAGTTTAAGTTCACTTGTTGTTACTCTTAATGCATCGTAGATGAGCTGAACGGGAAATGAAGGAAATTAGAAATGCATACGTAATTTTAATGTAAATACTAAGAGGGACTAGTCCACTTGAGTGGCCAGTTGCGTGGATGGGAGGATGGAACGGAAATGGATTTCAGCGAAAATATAATGTGTTGATACAAATTGGACTTAAATGGCCTAGGATAGGGAGAAGTGAAGGATTAATAAAATGTGAATATCACACAAGGGAATTACTTCTTAATCCTGCTCCTGTTTTCAACAAAGTTCTTATGCTTTAGCATAATTAGGAGCACCGTAGAGCATTGAGCGTCGCGGTGCTAGGCCCCAGCCCTTTTGCTTTAGTAAGCACATGTAGAATTGGAATTGAATACTGCGACATGGCGACGCATTGCCAGATAACAGCTCGATAACACCGCGCGATACGTGCAAGCAACAATAGAATGAATGTTATAGCTCGTTGCTAGGCAGCAAGCAGCACGCCAATCGAATGGCGAGAGAGCAATCACGTGACTTGCGTTTTCATCAAGATTGGTTCAGACATTCAAAAGTTGATAGCATGGGATTCATAGACGCAAAGACACACAGACTGCAAGGTGATTTCATAAGTCTGCCCTTATTTTTTTCAAAATAAGAAAAATCAGGTTAAAAGGCTAGATTTCCTTGTAATGGCCTCTCATGTTTAAAGAAACAAAGATTTCCTTAATTAAGTGGAAATCGTAGGCATATTAACAAGATGTCTTAAAACAGCCAGTGTATAAATTATAATCGGGCCAGCCAAGGTTGCCACTGTTCACGGGAGTCAGAAACAAAAAAGGAAATAGCATAATCAGAGGAAAATAAGAGATTTGTTCACGCAGCAAATTACTTAACACAACATCGTTAAATAACCATTGCATAAACTATAACTTAAATGTAACAGCTAAGCCCGCCTCTATGTACAGATTATTTTCATATCTATTCTTATGCCGGGGTGAGACTTAGTCCCTTATTACACAGGCCATAATTGTCTCTTTAGCCGGTCACGGTAGCCGAGCGGTCTAAGGCATGCACTGTCTTCGCTCGGAAGCCGGGATCGTGGGTTCGAATCCCACTCAGGGCATGGATGTTTGTGTGCGTTTTTCTGTGTTTGTCTACAGGTAGAGGCCTTGCTACGAGCTGATCACTCACCCAAGGAGTCCTACCATATGTGTAAGATCTAGAAAAACCGAAGGGAACGGAGTTCATGGAGGTAGGCCTAGGCCCAGTGGGGCTGTAGCGCCAAGGAAAAAAAAAAATGTTTCTTTTACCAACCCCGGATGACATATGAGAGAACATAAGGTGATATGAAAACAGGCATGGGAAAGCCATTATTAAACCTGCCCCAATACCTCTTAGTCTACCATAAATCTCACATGAACCGATCTGGGTTTGATTCCGGGCCGCCACGGTGAGAGACCGGGAGATAATTGCCGGAAGTATGGTAGCGGCTTACGTACGAATAAACCAAGTTTATGTTGCTCTAAGTTAAAACCATTCATTCTTTAATCAGTGGTTCTACTGCCCCTTATTGGGCCCTGGCCTCTTCTTCAGTATCGTAATCTTTTTTACACAGTCGGTAGGACTCCTTGGATGAGTGATCAGACTGTCACAAGGTCGTTACCTAAACACAGGCCAACACAAACAGAACAAAAGCATGCACAGACACCAATGTCTTGAGTGGAATTCGAACCCATAGATAGCGCGGCCACTGTGATCGGCCTGAGTTAAGTTAAAACCCGACCACTAAAATCTCAAATGACATTTACCTGAAGAAGTCATTCCTGCAGAAGAGCTTGCCTTCTCGACTGAAGCACTTATCCGTGAGGTTGCCTCTGCAGTCGTAGCAGCGTACGCACTCCGCGTGCCACGTCCGCTCAAGCACGTTGAGTAGGAACTTGTCCAGGATGGGCTTGGCACAGCCCGCACACTCTATGATCATGCTGGCGACGGTGGCGGCGTGCAGCGCGGCGGGGTGGGCCCGACCTGCACACAACAGCACCATCGTCACTCTACCACCCCCTGGCAATCAGAGATCGCACCGGCAGAATTTATAATAATGCATTGATGGATCGGAACACACACAGAATTGACTTCGGCCATCTTGTGTACGCACACAAAATGGCAGCTACTGCGATACTGCTGTGACTGACCAGGTTTGTGTTCTAACATACCGTTATCCAGGGTCTCAGAGGGGTGAGGTGAAGCCCCGGCCAGTCACAAATATGGGGGTCACACCCCACTTCAAAAGCCATATAAATATATTTTGTAAATATTTTAAAAATCATGTTCTGTATCAAACGAATGTCGATTAACAACATTTTAATTCAATCAAATGGAATTTCCACATTCTTGTATACTATCAATAAATCTATCTATCTATCTATCTATCTATCTATTTATCTATCTATCTATCTATCCTTATTCCTGTTCCTCCCACTTGGAGCATAGGGCATTCATGAAACGCTTAATTTCATTTCAGTTTCTTAATCTTAGACAGTCGGTAGGTCCCCTTGGACGGAGGATCAGCCCCTCGCAAGACGACTACCTACACAGGACAACACAAACACAGAATAATCGCAGACAAACATCCATGTCTTGACTGGGATTCGAACCCACGATCCCAGTGTCTGAACTGGCGAAGACATTTTATACTTTAGACTATGCAGCTACTTTGATCGGCTGCTTCCTTACTACATCTTGTTAATTTGAATAAGAGTATATCTCGACCCATCTAGGTCAGGTGTCTGGATATAATATTCCAACTCAACCCCCTCCCCGATATGGGCCTGCTGTTACCATTAGATATTAATGTAAAGATGTCCCTGTACTTAACTAATTAAATACTTCGCCGTGAAGGCGTATGGAGGAGTGGATGTAGAGATCCAGGCTAGGAAATTAACTAAACGTTTGAAGGGTTATATTTTCTAGGATATATCGCCGCGTTGAGAGTCAACCAACTTTTCAGGTGAACATTGAGCCCTCATCTTTATGGTTGAAGAGTAAACCAGGCAAGAGCCTAGCATGAAGCGGGCAGCAAGCAAAGCTGGTTTCTTGCCTCTATTGGTCTTCAAGCCTCAAGATGGCGGCGGTACGTTTCTCTGAAATGTTGGTTGACTTCCAACGAATTACACTGTGTTAGATACCTCGATGACAGAACTATTTTGACCGCCACTGAAAAGACTCCAGTTCCTATAATACAGCGGGAGGCGGCAGGGAGTCAAGGACAGAGAGCCAGTGTACGCGACGGCAGCTCCAACAGCCGCGTCGAGGAGCTCTCGACAAGTAAAATTAAGGTCTGTGCCGTTACATTCTGTCGGTATAGAGACGGGGTAAGGGGTAGACGGTCTGGGTTCGATTTCTCTCAAGAGCAAGACTGTTCCCTTCTCCACAGAGTCCAGAACGGCTCCAGGGTCCACCCAGCCTCTATCCAACGGGTACCGGAAGCTCTTTCCTAAGAGGAAGCCCAGCCACTCACCTCCATCCAGTGCCGAGGTCAAGAATGATGGAGCTATACCTCCAGTTCTTTATATGTTCTTATGACGTGTTGGTTAATTATTTAGATGCTGGGACAATTTTACCATTTATCTTATGTTTATAATGTTGAGAATAACCAAATCTGTTCACAGGGAAGTGATTACATACTACACAGTGAACTAACTCCATGGAGCATAGCCCTCCTTCAGAAGCTAATAGCTGGGGAAGGCCCGACGGGTAAAAACTACATTTCCCTATTACAGTTTTGGAATGTTGGTGCAGTGGTCACGGGGATGTGACTATATTCTACTGATTACAGTTAAATAACTCCATGAAGCAGAGATCTTGAGAACGTGATAGCTGCTCAGAAAGCAGAGAAATTTCCAGCAGTGAGTGAAATCCGAGAGTACATTGCCGTGTTCATAAGAGCCCGGTTTTATAGTCTGACTCAGAAATTTTTGCCGGATTATACTTTGTGCGTTCATTATACTCATTGATTATAATTGTGGGATGGGCCCGACCTTAACGCAATACATTAAGTTTGGTAAACGTCCAAGTACTGGCAACAAGGAAGTTACAGAGACAGCGTTCATCACAGAGAGTTAATAAGGAAGCGATATCTGAAAAGAATAAAGGACTTTCTGAAAATATAGCAGAATATAACCTAATTACAAGCTTAAACAGAGAACATGATTCGGAATAGAAAGTAACTACGTTCTGCGCGGCCGGGGATCATTTCCTGTCATATGCAAGGATTTTTCTTCTCGCTACCAAATCTAAATTTCTGTGAGGCCCACAAGGCCTCATGTTCTCGATTCCTTTGCAAGAGACTGAGGACATTCCAATGAAGCCGACCACTCCCCTGAATCTATTGCTGGATCCCTCATTTCGTGCCCCAATACATTTGCTTGGCACGCAATCTAAGCACAGTAACGACTTCAGGGGTTTTACGTTTTGAGTTTCTCACGGAAGTGATTATGGAAAATTCTTTCTTCTGGGATACAGCACTGTGCAGTCCGTTGAAATTCAAAGGAAGTTTCGGGGGAACATATAGCCTCCATCTTCAGCGTTCAATAGTGAGGGTAAACAATAAACCAGAGTGAAACAGATAGTAAGCAGAGCTCTGGCTTCCTACTTAGCTTATCCCTCAACCCTGCAGATGGAGCCGACATTTTCGTCAGAAACGTCGGTTGAGTTTCAATGGACTACACAGAGTTATATCCAAGAAAATAGAATTATTCATCTTCCTTGGCTGTCACTGAACTGACGCACGGAGATGGCGTAGCGAAGATTGATGCCATAAGGAAATGTGTTTACTTAAGATTGCAGATCAGATATTTTTAATCTGGCCGCTTACTACCAGATCGGAGCCGAACCAGACTACATTTTTTACAGAAACGAACCCCCTAATTCATACACATTAAAGGGCAAATAACAAATAGAGTACAAAACAAAACATATTCACGCTGTGTGTACTCCGTGACAAGAATGACATATGAACAAACTGTGAATAATGAACACTAGCGCTGTGGACGGAAAGTGGCCGTCCGGCAAACTAAAATCGTGCCAGACCACGGGATAGCGCCGAACCATAAAAACTATCACTGTAATAGAACATGGAGGCCCATAGGGTTGTGAGACGTCGAGGCTTCCTCATTTTCCATCCAATCATTTAACAGATAGCGATGAAGGCAGCCTTACGAGCTAGACACCGAATTTGAGACGTCCAACACATACTTTCTTCAAGAAGGAAATTAAGATCACTTCAGCAACCCGAAAGTGTTAAGATATCAGTTACGTCTGGTGCTGTGGGTCTACAGTGGAAACACGCGCTGTTGTTAGACACATGTTCATGTGCTGTCATTAAAATAATTAATGAAACAGCAACACACTCATGGCCATGTTGGTGTTTACCGCAAATTTACATGCTTTTGATGCAACTCTGATTACTTAAATTTATATTCACCTTTTTTATATGCAAATTAAGAAAAGAATTATTGGTCTCATGCCTAATTCCCAAATCACAGAATCGAATTGCACTGTTCACTCAATGTATAGTGTCCAGTATTTTTTGTTTACAACCAAAAACACCCCGTAATTTCAGTCCGTAAGCGAACTATACCGACCGAGCGACCGCCGCTTTTCGGCGAAGTTAGTTCCAACTTTAGCGGATAGAGGGTGTCGTGTGGTCAGCGCAACGAATCCTCACGGCCGTTAATTTCGGCTTTCTAAACCGGAGCCGCTATTTCTTTAAAATAGCTCCTCAATTATCCTCACGAGGCTGAGTGGACCCCGTTCCAGACTCACAACTTCTCAGAAAATCTGGTAGCGCCGGGAATCGAACCGGAGACCTCTGCATCTATAGCCAGGAACGCTGGCCACTAGACCACAGAGGCGGTCTTTGTTTACAACCACGGTTTATATAAAGAGTAATTAACAATTCTGTACGAATCTGTGAAAAATTGAGGTTTTTATTTATGCGTTAATTTCTGCTCAACCGTGGAAGGATTGTATAAACAAATACTTCAAAGGTGCCGACAGCGAAATGTCATGGATTCTATTAAGGTCTGTGAAAATCATTTATTATAAAAGTATTATTTGGGACACTGTTCGATGCCTGCGACAAGCCTATGTGATATAAGCAACGTTCCTTGCGTTAGCTCTGCTCCCGCCTTCAGGAGACAAGCTGCTATTATATTAACACACACACGTTAGGTCCAGTTCTTTTCGATCTGAAGTTAATAACGAGCACTTGAACTGAACCGGTGTTACTCAGTCACTCTCAATGTTCCGGTTATAAATGTAAAAACAGACCGAATTGTCCTGTGCTTAATTAATTAAACACTATGCCATGGAGACATATGTGGTAATGGAGGTATAGCTCCACCATGAGTAACCTCGGTACTAGATGGAGGTGTGTGGTCAGCTCCACACACCGGCCGCTTTACCCTCGGAGGAAGGATCTCCGATACGCATTGAATTAGGGGCCCGGGTGGGCCCCAAGGCCGGTCTGGATGCTATGGAGAAGAAAAGAATCCTGCCTCTGGCGGGAGTAGAGCCCCGGTCGTCTAGCCCGTAGCACGTCACTGTACAGACTGGGCTATCACGACTAATGTTCCGCTTGCATTAGACAAAATATACTAAATATATCCTAATGTGTGTAGAATAGCGATCCCGCTGTAACTGCCTGCGGTCCCGAATTGTGTGAATGTATAACGTGTCAATAAAGTCAATCATCCAATCCAAAACCCGTCTTATAAGTCACGCACGTTACATTTTCCAGAATAAACTCCAGTATTAGCATTATATGCCGGTCACGGTAGCCGAGCGGTCTAAGGCATGCACTGTCTTCGCTCGCTTGGAAGCCGGGATCGTGGGTTCGAATCCCACTCAGGGCATGGATGTTTGTGTGCGTTTTTCTGTGTTTGTGTACAGGTAGAGGCCTTGCGACGAGCTGATCACTCGCCCAAGGAGTCCTACCATATGTGTAAGATCTAGAAAAACCGAAG